TTCCAAGTAGCTGGAACTACAGGCATGCACCACCACACCCGGCTAATTTTTTGATTTATTATAGAGACAAGGTCTTGTCAAGTTGCCCAGGCTGGTCTCAAACCCCTGGACTCAGGCAGTCCTCTTGCCTCTGCCTCCCAAAGTGCTAGGATTACAGACGTGAGCCTCCACACCTGGTCTATAGGCTAGATTTGGCTCACAACTGTAGTTTCTGGATGCTAAGTAACTTACATGTGTTATTTAAACCCTGGTAACCTATGAGGTTAGTATGATTCGCATTTCACAGATGGAGAAATTGGTGCTCAGAGTGATTTGCTTGGGATACACGGGCAGCACTGGAATTTGAGCCATGGTCTGGCAAAACAGCTGGCAACCAGGCAGACATTTTTCATCGTGAGGGAGCTTGGGGAGTTCTCCTCCTCCTGGAAGTGGACCCCTGCCGGGGGTGGGGCTGGTGATGGAGGACCCTGGGCAGTCGGGGAGTCCTGCCTGACCCTGCCCCTCCCCCTCAGGAGTTTTTCGGAGCTGTACATGCTATCTCTGCAGGAGCCCAGCCGGCGGGGGGCCCCAGAGCCAGTGCCGGAGGAGGCCGCGGGGGTGGCCCTGCTGCCCACCACAAAGCAGCTGCTACATCTGTGCCTTCAAGATGGCGGCGGCCCTGCAGGGCCCAGGGATCTTGCCGAGGAGAGGACTGAGTTCCTGCACAGCCAGCACTCACCGTCACCCCGCAGGTGCCTGCTCTTGGCCTTCCCTCTCCTCCAGGCTTGTGTGAAAGCAGCTTCCGGTTCTGAGCCGCCCCTGCTCTCCCCAGCTCCCTCTTGGACGAGGCCCCGGTCCTGGCTACCACCACCCCAGACCTCCTCCTGGCCACCACGGCCAAGCCTTCCACACCCGGTGCTGACAGGGACATGCCCCTCGCCCAGGTGAGCAGAAACAAGGCCTTGGCGCCCAGTGGCGCAGAGGTGACAGTGGGTGTCACTGAATCCATATGTGCTTTTTTGCCCCCCAGGACGGGCCAGACAGTCCCGGTGGCTCTGAGGATAAGGGGGACCCAGCTCCGGAACTGAGGGCTTCCTTTTTGCCAAGAACTTTGTCTCTGAGGAACTCCATCAGCAAGAGTGAGTCTGGAGCAAGAGGGGATACGGGGGGGGAGTGGGGGCGCTCCTGGCCTGCCTGGCTCAGCCC